TGAAGGGTCCCAGGTTCGATTCCGGCCAAGGGCACATGCCTGGGTTGTGGGCTCGATCCCCAGTAGGGGGTGTGCAAGAAACAGCCGATCAATGATTCTCTCTCATCATTGATGTTTCTATCTCTCTCTCCTTCTTCCTTCCTATCTGAAATCAATAAAGAAATATATTTAAAAAATATGTGCTAGGTATATTTTATAATAAGTAGCCATAGATACACAGAAATTAGTATCTTACCTCCAATGTTCAGGTGATAAAGTGTGCAAGCAGAGGGAGATAAATAAAATAAAGGCAAAAGAAACAAACAGTAATAAGGTGGGCAGGAAATCCCACTCTAGGCCAGCTGCAACAAGGAACGAAGGCAAAAGTTGAGAGTGTCTCTAAGAGCACTGTTGGAACTCTCATTAAAACTGTTAATGGAAAACCTCATTAATCTGAATAGTCTCTGCTAGCTACATGGTTACTCAGTAAAGGAAAGGTGGTCCTTCTACAGCACTGGAAAAATTCTTTCAAAAAAAAGTTTCTTTTTAACTTTTCCAGAGTCCCAGGTTTCTTATAAACTCAATTGTTAGTTTTGATGATAATTCCAAACTACACATCTCCCACAAATATGCTATTGCATACACTTAGAACTTGACATTTATTTCAGTACTTTATCAAATACCAACTTTTATTATACGTTAATTAATATGCATATTCTTGTCTCCCAAATAAAAGATAAACTGTTGATAATGGGCCCCAAGTTCTATATAATTTTAATTCAATGATCTCAAACATATTTTTAAAATATTTTTATTGACTTCATAGAGGAAGGAAGAGGGAGAGAGAGATAGAAATATCAATGATGAGAGAGAATCACTGATTGGCTGCCTCCTGCACTGCCCACACTGGGGATCAAGCCTGCAACCCGGGCACGTGCCCTTGCCCGGAATCGAACCCGGGACCCTTCAGTCCACAGGCCAACACTCTATCCAGTGAGCCAAACCAGCTAGGGCCTCAAACATATTTTTAATTGAATAATCTATAATTGTTCAGGAATTAGACATTTTCATTTTTCCTTTAGAAATAATTTCAGATGGACAGAAATACATATAAATAATTCCTGTATACTCTTCACCTAGATTTTCCAAGTGTTAACATCATACTTTCTTTACCATACACCCAGCAAGTACTAATTAAGAACATGTCAAAATCTGCTCAATTAATATAATTTATTTATAATGGGGATAATAAAAGCATCCTAGATATTTCTACTTCTAGTACAAATAATAATGACTCAAGTTTAAATTCAAACATATCCTAATTTTACACCCTTTACTAGCTTTAAAAAGGTCAGTTTTTTTGGTTTACTTTTTCACCAAAATAGAAAGTCCAAGCCTGGGGGCTGTAGCCTGAATAACTGGTTTAGAAATGTAGAACTTCAGTCAAGCCAACATCCCAGAAGGCAGCGTGGGAGTGTGTTGAAGTGGGAGTTGGAGGGGTGATGAGAGAAAGGGATAGAAAGGTTCTGATATAAACTCAGAGTGGCTCCAGGACAGCTGTGGGCCATATGGAGGCACACAGCTCTTACCTCTCATACTCCATTGCTGAGAGGCAGTGGCCCAGAAGTAGGGGCTAGAGATGGGAACAGAAATAGGAACCAGCTGGATAAATGGAACTGCAGAAACAATACCCAAATGGGTGAATGAGCTATGGTAACCAAGCTGATAACTATTTATTAACTGCGTTTTATGTACCAGACACTATGTTAGGCACTTGACAGACATTCTCTCAAAACCCCTTACAACCATGTTGATGTCCTCATTTCATCAGAGGGAACTGGCTAGAGAATACAGTATTTACCCAACACCACAGCTATTATAAGTGGCAGAAACAGAATTCAAGCCAAATCTAACACACTGCAAAGCCAGAACTCATCACATATGCCAGTTAACCAGTGAAGGAATGACACATTTCAGCTCACAATAAGGAAGAATTTGTATTGAGTGATCTTACAGCATTGAGGATACCTGTGATGATCTGTTTGTTTTGTTTATTCCCCCTAGACCGGCATCTCTTTGAAGATAGGGCTGTTTCTCACATCTGACTTCTATTACAGAACAAATTCAAATGAGTAAATTTGAGGATCTAATTGGCTTTATTAAGAGATCCGTGAACCAGGCAGCATCCCATCCAGTAAGTAGAAGGGCACTCCCAGAGATGGGCCATAAATGGAAGGTTTTTCTAGTCTGAAGGGTGTGGCAGACAAGTTATTAGCAAAAGAAAAGAAAGGATTATTTTTAGGCCAACACCTTTGGGGGGTGGGGCCGGAGGGCTGGCGGCAGGGGTCTTATCAGGCCTATTACCTCACCAGTGTCGATCAGGAAATTCCTGGCTGGTTTGAGGTCACATTCCTGGTATTGGCTGAAACTGCCCTCAGGTCTTGGTGTGTTGTCCGCCAAGTTCTATTCTTTTGGGGTGAAAGGGCCGGAGGGTTGTTTAACAAGCAGATTACTGCATGAGTTTTGATCTGGATATTCTAACCTATGGATTGGTTTCCAGTCAGTACAAAGGTTCCATATTTTGAGTGGCATTCAAAGCATGATCCTTTCACTGCTTACATTTTAGGACCTTTAATGATACTTTCCCCTATTTTTCAACAAGTGACACTGCATTTTCATTTTGTAATGAGCCTCACAAATTACACGCCGAGTGCTCCCAGGCAGTGGACAGGACATCCATACCTGTCCTGGAGCTCACAGTATTTCACAGACTGGACATGCCCACAGGATCAGACTTTTTATGCCTGGAATTGTTCATTATTTGGAACAAAACTGAGTGAAGAGACCGGATTACCTTCTAGGTCTGCCCTAACCTGAGATGACACTAAATATAAGACTAGACAGGTTCACTTCTTATATGACACAAGAGGTCTGAACATGCACAAATCAGACCAGCTTATTCCGTTTTGTGACCGCTTTGGGGAAGAAGCCCCATCAAAACTTAGCTAGTTTTTAAACTGGTTTATGTTAATACTCGGGAACTAAGGGGGCGGGGAGGCTGAGGAAAGGAATTTATCTCCAGTGATATGTTAACCGACTCCTGGGAGGCTGACCCTACTTTAAAGTTAAACAGGTAACAAAAGTCCAAAGGTGGAGAGAACTGGGTGCCCTACGCAGTAACACGGGTGCCAGCACAAAGGTCCCATATTTTGAGTGACAGTCAAGGCAAAATCCACAGAAGAGATTTTTGAAGGCAAAAGGAGACCTAATCCGACAACAAAGCACACTAGGCACCACGCACACCCACTCACCCACACCCGGGACGCCAGATGTGCAAACGCGAGACCACCGGAAACAAAGCCGGCTGTTTCCTCGCAGTTCACACCCGTTCTGCCCACATGTCCGCACAATTTCTTCCCGTCGTTTGCCTATGCTTTTGGCTATGGCACTTACCTAACGGGTTAGTTACGGAAGCCAACCCGCCTCCTCTGGGTTGGAGTTCAGGCCCCGCCCACTTGTCATCGCTCCTCCCCCCCCGTGGCCACCTGAGCGGCGCTCCCCGTACTCCGGCCTCTCGCGTTCTTTCCGGAGCCAGACTGTTATCGCGAGAGTTTGCCCCCACTCTTAACGAGGTCTCGCGGTTGGTTCAGTCTTTTCCTCCGCGCGCTTGCGGAGGTCGGCCGTTGTTTCGCCTGTGCCGCTGAGCCTGGCGGTTCCTGTAGGCGGGCTTCCCAGGCCTGGGCTGCGGGTGGCGCGTACGCAGCTGAGTCCCTGACGGAGCCGGCGCTTGGTGGTGCCCGCCGTCTGCCGGCCTACACGGGTAAGAAGAGGACAGTGGCATCCGGGCCTGCTGGGCAGGGGAAGGGGTGCACCTCTCGCTTTCCCCGCCCCCCCCACCCCTGCGACGCTCACGAGGTTCGAGCCGAAGAAGTCGGGCCTGAGGGCGGAGGCACACACACCACGATTACAGCGGGTGTGATCCAGGTGTAGGAGTTGTAGGCGACATAGACATGTGCAGGTGCTCTGGGCTAATAGCACCAGGTAACGCGTAGGCCGCCGTCTTCTGTGCCGGAGGGTAGGCGGCTCCTGAGAGGCACCAAGGTCTGGTAGTGGCTGGAGAGGCTGTGATGGGCGCCGGCCGGGTGCATGGCAGGCCACGTGGCCTCGCTCAATTTGGAATAAGGGACACTCAGAAATGCTGTCTAGATAAGTTTCAGAAACAGTGATTTGTTTTTTAAAGATGTATTTTTTAAAATATGTTTTATTGATTTTTTACAGAGAGGAAAGGGGAGAGAGAGAGTTAGAAACATCGATGAGAGAGAAACATCGATCAGCTGCCTCCTGCACACTCCCCACTGGGGATGTGCCCGCAACCCAGGCCATTATTTGAAATGTTTTTCTGTTAATTCTAAGAAATCTTTCATCTATACTCATTGGTCATTGTCAAGTATGTTAAACACTGAAAAATGCAAACGTGGAATGATGATGACATCCTCTGTAAGGGCGAACCAGTATTAATTTCTCATCTTTATTTTTTTTTAAATTGTATTTTGATTTCAGAGGGAGAGGGAGAGAGGGATGGAAACAACAATGATGAGAATCATTGGTGAGCTGCCTCCTGCACTCCGCCTACTGGGGAACGAGCCCACAACCCAGGGGATGTGCCTTGACTGGGAATGGAACCGGTACCTCCAGGTTCATAGGTCAATGCTCAACCACTGAGTCATCCTGGCTGGGCTTTATTTTTAATTTTAAATTATTTTCCCAAACTATTGTAAAATCTTCCAGGAATTTTTTTGAAAAGAAAGATAAAGGACATCAATATTAATAGTCCAATACCCTCATTGAAGTTTGAGAGAGAATTCAGAACTTTTAAATTAATAACCATAGTAACAAAAAGGTATGCCAAGAAAGAGGATTCATAGGGATTTTGTTGAATCTGTATGAATGGGCAAAAGCCACAAATGAAAATCCCAGGCCAGGAGTTTAAAAATGGTGTGATGGACTGAGATAGTAAGTTACTTTTCCTGGTATACTGAGGCTTGCTCTGTGAAACTTTTCTAGGAGTTCCCATCTGCTTTTGGAAAATGGCTTTTGGGCCATTAATTGCACATTACTAAATGACTAATGATAAAATTGCATTTTTTCCTGTTATTGGAAAGATGTTTGAAATATTTTGGGGGGAATGACATTTTCTAGAATCTGGTTCCACTGGATAGCTTTAGAGGCACAACTAAAAGATACAACACATTAATAAAATTTCTAGATTTTAGAATTTTTGATTTGAAATGGTTTCTACATGAAAATGAATGGCCTTGTAAATGCTTGTGCCTTAGTTTACATATAATGGCTTGATCTGCATCAAATTTGCATTGTTTGAATACTAGCTGTTTGTGCTGGCACTTGTTCGGGGAAACTAGACATCATATGTAGTGTATTTTATGTTGTCAGAAATTTGGTGAAAGCAAAGAACAAGTGAGAATAACAATTTTGAGACAGACTGGAAGAAGATACCAGGAATGGATTCTCCAGACTACATAACAGTATCTGATTCAGCTATGGAAACTGAAAATCAAAAGTAAGTGCATTTTTTTATATCAGCGGCAACTGCCAGATTTTCACTAGAAAACACTAGATTTGATAATGTTTATTTGAATTACCGGGAAAGCAGAAATCCTTGTAGATAAGGAGTGGTGGTAAAGGTAATTTTCAAGGTTTAGCAAAGAAGAGAAAAACCTGGTTTACACAAATCTGAGCAGGTTTTCCTGCTTCTGTCCTTGAAGAAATGTACATTACTGGTAATAAGCATTCAATCATATAAAGAGGATACATTAATTTTCCCCCTTTTTTTTCCCTAGTGATAGCTCTTCCTCTGATAGCAGCTTATTTAAAACTCAATGTGTTCCTTCCTCACCTAAACGGAGGCAAAGAAATCCCATTAGGAAATGTGTTCATTCACTTGAAAGTGTTCAAGCAAGAGATTCATCCAGTGACTCATCTATAGAACCAAGACCATTGACTTTAAAAGCCATTTTTGAAAGATTCAAGAAAAAGAAACCAAAGAAACGTAAAAAGAGGAAATATAAGCCAACAGGAAGACCAAAGGGAAGACCAAAAGGAAGGAAAAACAGTAGGTCACAAATAAGTAAGAAACAACTTAAAGTTAAAAGACCTCAGTTCCCATTTATAGAGTCAGAGAATGGAAGAAAACCAATACCTTGGAGAAAAATTTTAACCTTTGAGGTGAGTTAGTGTATGTGAGTACCCATAGCTAAAGTGCCTGAATGGTGTGTTGGTCACTTAGAATTTAGATGGCTTCACTTGGCTACTAGGTGAAATTTTTACAGGTGTATTTAGTGAATATACCTGTATATAAAGTGCTCCAAGGCTGTTCATTTTCTTATTGATACTGAGCAGTTAATTTCTGATAGAATTGCCTGATAAATGCCCTGTAATTAGCAGTATACGCTCCTGTATTTGATTTAATGTTTGTATAGTTAATTTTTAATTGCTTGATTTAAATTCTGATTTGAGGGAATTAATACTGAACTTTTTAAAAAAAAATTATTTCAGAGAGGAAAGGAGGAAAGAGAAACCTCAGTGAGGTAAGAAACTCATTGATTGGCTACCTACCTCCTGCACACCTCCCACTGGAGCATGCAACCCAGGCATGTGCCCTGACCAGGAATTGAAACGGACCTCCTGGTTCATAGGTCGAGGTCCATAGGTCGACGCTTAACCACTGAGCCATGCCAGCCTGGCAGTTAACCTATGTTTTAAGGTGATTATAATAAAGCCTCAAAAATTTGCTTATGTGCGCCCTGGACGGCTTAACTTAAGTGGTTAGAGCAGCGGTTCTCAACCAGTGGGTTGCGACCCCTTTGGGGGTCGAACGACCCTTTCACAGGTCGCCTAAGACCATCTGAAAACATACATAATTACATATTGTTTTGTAATTAATCACTATGCTTTAATTATGTTCAATTTGTAACAATGAAAATTTACACGGCGTATGAGATATTTACATTACAATTCATAACTAGCAAAATTACAGTTAAGTAACAACGAAAATAATTTTATGGTTGGGGGTCACCACAACATGAACTGAATTAAAGGGTTGCGGTGTTAGGAAGGTTGAGAACCACTTGATTTAAATTGTGATTTATTTGAGGGAATTAATACTAAACTTTTTTAGTTGTTAGAGCATTGGCTGGCTGGTAAACTGAAGGTTGCAGGTTTGATTCCTGGGCAAGGTCATGTACCTCAGTTGCAGGCTCGATCC